TCATTTTAGGACGAACGATTTGCTTTCAGTCGAGACACACGTAACGATGCTGTGTTCGCTTCCCTTAATGAAAAAATTCCTCAGGTGAGAAGTACACAGTTTTCCAAAAAAGGCTTGTTTGAATTTATTTCATATGAATGAAAAATAAATTGTGATGCACGTTTGACCATTGTTCATGCTAGAAGATGGAGGAGTGATGCCTGATCCTTAACGTTTTAGGAACTGGTAATACCAATGACGGTAGAATGGACGGGTATATTTCGCCAGGATTCGTGCTGTAACTGAGGTGGTTTCCTGCTGTTTATAATTTGGTTTAAGATGAAAAGGAGAACTCTGATTTGTTCCCTGAGAGGCTCAGTTTTACAATTTGGGCCGCTAAGTTGGACCGCTCACGAATTAATTTTGACAAATTCCTTTTTCATAACTTTCCGCTATGGAAACGATTTTGTGAAGTAGGCACCTTTTTTCTTCATATTGGATTACGCGTAACAGCCTTCTAATAAATACTTTATTAATTTTTTTTATTAAGCTTGCTCAGTCCGTCTTGGGGAATATCGGGTTCGGTTTTTTTTGTTGCTGCCATTTTTTAGACCTCGAATGCGGCTGGGCCCATAAACTTGCAAAAAAAAACAGGGAACTGGCCCTGTTTTTCCCAAAACTGACCTTAAGCTGGGTCTATAACATATATGTGTTTTTCTACAGGAGCCCATTTCTCGCTTTGTCGAACGCCAGATTATCGTCGATTTCCGCTCCTCCTTGTCTGATGTCTGTGATGTTCTTTCGTCATTGGATATCGCCATTGGTTTTCTTGCTTCGTCAGGTGGCCAAACCGAGAGACCTTTAAAATGGTACTTACATGAAGTACTTAAGTTACCCAAAGAACGCGGACTCAAGAGCCCAACAGTAAGTACAATGCAGTCCGCTGAATCCGAATCAGATCACTTTGCTCAAGAGAAACGGGACACGTTTGCCGTTCCTTAATTATCAGTCATTTGTACACGAATTGATTGCTGTGGCGCATTTATTTCTCAGTAGAGTTTGAAAAAGAGACATTATAATAAGTAGTTCATTGAGCTACCTTGGTCGGTATTAATTTTGAAATGTTGTTTTCGTCCTTGTATTGTGGCCCTTGTTGTCTTCGCTGTCGTGAACTGTTGTCTTGTTTCTTTCCTCTGTAGTGTGGTCGTTCAAACAAGTTACCATCCCCTTAAATATCCCATCCATGCTTTAAACATTTTAATGTATGTGGCTATTTTGTTTTAGGCAGAGCAACACTGCTACCTGTCTCACACATTGGCGTTATGGCGTCTCCTGGCTCTAGAAAAAGCGAAAATCAAGTCTAGGAACAATCAGGTTAGACTCAAGTGACCGTATCACATTTTCTCAGCCTTCTGTCTTTCCCTTAAGAAAATCTGGTCATACGTTAACCCGGGTATCCAAGGGACAATCAGGTTAACATCTAACTTTACAGGTTAGCATCTAACTTTACTCTTGCGCTGGACGGCATGTATTGAAATTAATAAAAGTACTGTACAATGTCTATCAAACTCTGCCCCCGTCTCGGAAGGGTCCTCCGACGTCTTTTCAACACCTTTTGAAGAGAGAAGGGCGCTATTTTTGAAACGATAAATCAGTCGGCGCATGTAATAATTAATTGATATAAGAGACCTTTTGGATGTGTGTGTCCACGAAAGAGAAAGTCGTGGGTATATAAGTAAGGCTTGCCGTCCTGGAGGAGTGGGTTGGTGATCTTAATAGAGAGGGGGCGGGGTTTACCTAGGAGATACATTAGAGAAAAAAAGGGAGGCCGCACGGCGTTTTCTGCGATAACTTCAAGATGTTGGAATCACCTCCGTCTTAAGCTACGCACTTCTCAATCTGTGAGTACTTTGAAGAATGCTTTTTATAAACATTTTAAATTAAGTCAGCTTAGGGATAAGATTTTTACTCCTTTTTTAGGTAATTTATTTTTAGATCTCATGTTATGAGCAATATGTTTCACCTTTACCTTTTAGATCTTGATCTGTTGTACATTGTGATTTTTAATTAGGCTTTAAATAAATCCTTAATTAGGTTATTAATTATAATAGGTTTTTTTTAATTGTAACAGTGTTTATAGAGGGCCACAAGTTCATTAGTTTTTAACTATTAAGTGTCACCCTCTTTAAATAAAGTTTGATTGATTGATTGATTGATTGATTGGTTTTGCTTAAGTAAAAGTAAATACTGTTTAGGGAATCTATTTTAAGGGGAGCGTAAAAGACAGGGCGATAGGACGCCTAAATGGAGCTCTTAACGTATGACCAAGCAAAACTTGATCGAAACAAGCAGATGTATGGGATTTGCTATGATTTTTGGCTACTTGAAGATTTCATAATTTTTCTTTTTAAGAAAGGCAAACAAAAGTGCCTTTGGGTTACCAAGACAAAGAAACTATAAACCATTACCTTTCCCAAATATCTTTAGGAGCCATTTGAGCAAATGCCTGACGATTTCAAGGAAAGACTGAGCTCAAGCGACATGGCGCACCTAAATCGCGTATTGCGAAAAATCGACATGGACTCATTTTTACCACAACTCCTGGAAATTATTCTTCTGAATGTTAGAAAGGATGGTGAAAATATTTCAACGATGAGGTAAGATTGACTTTTACTTTTGAAAACAACTAAAGCTAACAACAACTTTTTACTTGTGAAAAGATCGTGAAAGTGCAAAAGTGGCGGAGATTCCAAATTTTCCGGCGCATCTTTGGCTGGAGGTACGAAGACGTCGAAGGCCGACTGAGTGTTTTGTAGTACCAGTGTACACCCATATACTGACGGACTGATAGGAAACTAGTTACTACTGTAAATCAAAATATTTGATTTTTAAGATGGGCATGCAAGATGCCCCTCCATGCAGATGCTCTCTAGACACGTCAGGCAATCAGTTCTTAACCAGAAAGATCTCGTGAGGAGTGCAGAGAGCGTGCTCAATTCTTACTCCATGTGATCTCTTAACAAAACCCTTTCTCTGCTTTCTCGGTTGCGCGAAGTACCACTTCACAATTTCTTACGTTAGTTTCGTACGTTGAATGATCAACGTTTTTGAACAGAATGTAAAATAATGTCTAATGTAATTACCTTCTAGTTTTGTAGAATACTTGGAACTGTGCTTGGCGGATAAAGGTTTAGAGCAAATACCAGGAACCGAGAACATTCCCGACAGCATCCAAATGAAGCACGTGAAAGCTGTCTGGAACTCCGCCTTACAATTAAGTGACGACTTCACCAAGAACGTCTCGCAGCTACTGCTTGAGGAGCAGTGCTCGAGGCCCAAGAAACTGGCGGAGCCTTGTCTCAGAAAGCAGCAATCAACAAACTTGTCTTATCTCTTGTTTTTGTGTTTTGTTTTGTATTTGTTTTGTTTTTTGTTTTTTGTGCCAAAGTCATTTCGAAATGTTATCATAGGGATGAAAGTACCATTTCAAATTCTGGAAATTGTTATTGGCTTAATAGGTTTTAGTATGAGTTGTTTGTATAAGTTGTTATTGATATTAATAAGTGACTAAATATCTATAGCACTTTTCATTTCAATGTCGAAAGTAATTCAGAACTGAAGACACACTCAGTTGAAAACTGCTCTACCTTAATGCACGCTTAAAGTAAGGCTAGATGGTTCTTCAGTCAAAATAGTCAGCTTAGTTATGGACTGACACTGTTTAAATGAAGCCATAGTTCATACTTGTCATCAAAGTATACTTCTAAACATTCACTCACATACTTCAATGTATATAAGAATCAATAGTTTTCGTACCCAGCCTGGATATTGTTATTTTTGCCGACTGTAGGCTGAAAATATTCTAGTCTACATTCTTAGGTTACAGAGTATCGGTTGTGACCAGGAATTGAACTATCAAGAAGGATTATCATTCTAAATTTGCGTTTTGAATAGCAGGGAATCGGTCCTCTTCCATTTCTTTATCAGGTATATAACTTCCTTCCGTTTATCTGCAGCGGTGGAAAAAATAAAGACTAAAAAATAAATGGATGTTACTAAAACTAGTAACGGGGAACCGGGAACGGGAGTTTTTAGAACGAGTGCACAGCGGTAACCCGCCTGAGAATTCAGAATGGCGGACAAAGCAAAAGTTATGTCACTTGTCCTCGATATCCTATTGCGTGTTGCTATTTTTAAATATTGACATGACAGCTCGCCCACAAAGTGAGAA